AACTGGCTCGCGGCATTTCTGCAGTGCAAGATGAGATCTACGCGACGCTAGAGCAGGAGTATTGCATATCTGCTCAGGTTGTCATGGCCGGAACGGCTGCTGCGTACATTCTGGGCACTCCAGGTACAAGCAACCTCAGTTCTTCTCCAGAAGCGGTTTGCCTGACCCACGTTGGCGTTGTCAAGGGCACGAAATACCTCGACAGCCTGCTGACACACGAGTTTCAAAACAACCCGGGCGTGCACTTGAAGCACTTGCAAGTCGCGTCCCTGCGCCCATACCTCAGCAATGCCCGAACGGCATGGTTCCTGATTGAAATGCTGCGCCATTTCACTTGGGCGCCAAAGGAGGTCAGTCCCAAGAGTGCAGTCTCAATTTGGAAGCGCTACCCAGCAGCCACGGGCTGCTACGTGCCCTTGATGTACAGATCAACGAACGGCTTGCAGCGATTGAAGACTGCTAAAGATCGCGAGGACATTGCCAACCGGGCGCTCAAACTTTTGATGCGCGCCGACCTTCTGACACCAGACACGATGCCGACGCTTCAGGAAGCTGTAGAGTGTGTAAGCCTTGGGCTGTGCAACGTTTCAAACTACAGCCAAGCCCAAGGTATCCTTGAACGAGATCCGCACTGCAAGAAGTATCGGGATGACCTGATTTTCCAGTCTTCACCTGCTTTGGCACACATGTTGTTGGCAGCTTTCGATGTGCCGGAGGTAGTCCCGCAGGACGGGGATTCGCTGGAGGCGGTCATAATGGAGGCGGAAAGACGCTTCTCAGAGGTGCTGACGGGCCGGAAGGCCATCGCTTTGACTCTACCACATGCGCTGCCTCCGCAATTGAACCAGCTGAACATGCCAGGCGTGCCACAAGAACAATTTCAGGAGGTTCTGGCAGCTTTGAATGCCAGCCAGACGGTGGTGCTGCGCAATGGGCCGAGTGCTCAAGGTGCTGACATTATCGTTCTTCGGAGGAGGCATGGAAGCAATATGCCCTTGGTTCGCCTGATACAGGCGAAAAACAAAAATAAGAAAGTAGATATGCTTCCAGTTATTTCAACACTGGGAGTCACATGCAGCAACTCTACAGAGAGG